CCCACGCCAGTAGGGATCAGCCTCTTGACAACTGTCAGCTCCTCCGGAGTGCAGGCATTTATCTGCATGGCTGGGCCCGCTCCCAGCCCCGGAGGACTGCGGCCCTCCAATTACCCCAGGTGCAGACTCATTCCATCCACATCTGCAGGGTGGGGGCGCAGGGCTGCGCTCTGGCTTTGCTGCAAAACGCTTTCTCTTCCCTCCTCTCTCAAAAATATTCATCTATGCTCAATGCAGCAGAGGGGCCGGCTGAGTTCCCCTGGGGAACCGCCTGGCTGATGCGCCACCTGCAGACCCTGGACTGGCCGCAGAGGTGAGGCTGGTGGCTGCCTCCCTCCTGGCAGGATGCAGCACCCCCCACTCCTCTGAATATCTGGAGAGGGGCTGGGGGCTATGTCGCCCACATGCCTCCTTTACAGACTGAAAACATCGCCCTTTCACCTGGGAAACGAGGGGGAAGGAAGGGCTGAGACTTCACGTTCAGAGCCCCGGGCTCCCTTCTGACGCAGGTGTCACTGCTACCTGCTGGGGGGATTTTGGGTGGACGATGAACTGCTCTGAACCTCTTTCTGCACCCATGGAAGGAAGCTGAGGGCCTTATGGGAGGCTGCAGGGTCCCTCACGTGAGGTTCTCAAAGCCACAGGCCTGAGGCAGGCGCGTTGGAGACCAGACCAACGACTGAGGCTGCTGGTTCACACAGACGCGCTGTGGAGAGAGGACTTTCACCGTCCGCCCACAGCTAGCGTGGGTCCCCATCTTATAGACGGACACGGCCGTGGCATCTCGGCGTCCCCACCGCCCCCGCCCTCCCAGCAGAGCTCCTGGCGTGCAGCCCCGGCCCCGCCCATCAGAGGTCACTGTGTGGACAGCCCTCCGCCCCAGGACCGCGGTCTGGACGCCTCCTTTCCTCCAGGCCTCGCCCACGCCCAGTCAGCCCCCCCAGGCCGTGACCAGCCTGCGGTCCCCGGCATCTTTCTTTCCATGTCGTCTTCCACCCAGGAGACTCGGGTCACCACGAGTTTCATTTTTGTCCCCCTCCAGCCCCTTTTGCACACAGCTGTCATCCTCTGAAAATATGGCCGGGATCATATCATCTGCGCACGCAAAGGCCCTGGGTGCGAAGCCCCTCTGCTCTCCTGCCCCTCTGGCTGCGTCCGGGGAGCCGCCCCAGGCACTGCGCCCCGCTGTGTGCCGCCCTCACCCCCAGCTCTCCGTGCTGCCCCCACCCCCCACCCCGGTGCTCAGAGCCGGGCGCTGCCCTCCTGGCCGCGCCTTTCTGTCTCCTTCCTGAAGGCTTCTCTCTCGCCCACAGGCAGCAAGTGTGACCAACCCTCTCTTCCCTCCTTGCCTCCGAACAAGGCTGGCTCAGCCGAGCATCCGCCCTCCACCTCACTCAGTCCTGGGGGCGCCGAGGGGTCTAAACCAGTCCCTGCGACCCGATGGCTCTTGTTGTGGATGCTTCAGAAGCCGCAGGAGACTAGCCCCATCAGGGAGATGCGAGGTTGCTTCCAGGGAGGGAGAAGGCATCGTTCGTGGCTCCTCCCTCTTTTATTGAGGTGTAACTTCCACAGAGAAAAATCACCCTTTCTGGGGGACAGTTGCTGAGTTTTGATGAGGGCATCAGCCATGGATCCACCACTACCATCAGCTGTACAGTCGTGGCCTCCTGTGCCCTCGCCAGCGGGCCCCCTGCCCACCCACCCCACCCCGCCACTCCTCCTGGCCACTCCACGTGCAGCCTGCACCCTGGAGTCTGAGGCTCAGCCTGGCCCTGGCACCCACCTGTCAGGAGCACCTTCCTTGGGCTGCCAGGCAGAGCGCCCCTGGACAGCGCCTTGGACGCTGCCCATTCACTTTGTGGTTGCAGGGCATCTGGGCTGTCTCGGGGCTCGGTGGATAGGAATGAAACTTCCGTGATATTCCTGTGGGTCTCCTTGCACCATCTAGCAGGGGGTGTGGGGTCACGTCCAGAGACGTGCGTCTAGCTCCTGAGAAGCCGCGAACTCTTTTCCCGAGGGCCCCAGCCCTCACAGTCCTAGACGCTATCTGTTTTGTTCTGTTAAGCTCCTGCCTCTCTAACGGCGGTGGCACATTATCTCACTGAGGCTTTGACTTGCGTTTCCTTAAAGACAAAGGATCCTGAGCCTCTTTTCAGGGGTTGCTTGCCATCTTTCTTGATGGAGTGTCTGTTTGAGTCCTGTGGCCATTTTTTAAAAGCGGACTGTTATTTTTCTTGTTATTGAGTTTCAAGAGTTCTTTACATATTCTGGACACAGACTCTTATTGGAGACAGGATTTACTTCAGTGTTTGCACCCTCTCAAATTTTAAGCTTTTATTTTGTATCAGGGTATAACCAATTAAGAGCATTGTAGTGGTTTCAGATGAACAGCGAAGGGACTCAGCCATAGGCATACATGTATCCATTCTCCCCCAGACTCCCCTCCCATCGGCTGCCATGTGACACGGGCAGAGTTCCCTGTGTTGTGGGCCCTTGATGTTGATCCACTGGAAATACAGCCGAGCGTACATGTCCATCCCAAACTCCCTAACCATCCCTTCCCCCACAGCCATAAGTTTGTTTTCTAAGCCTGTGAGTCTGAAGAGTGGACATTCTTAATGCTGATCAAATCCATTCTTTTATGACACAAACTGGTTTCTGGCATTGAACCTAAAGAGGCTCTGCCTAACCGAAGGTCATGGAGATTTCGAGGCTTTCTTTCAGAAATTTCACTGTTTTAGGTTTTAGGTTTTAGGTTTAGCCCTGTGTTCCATTTTGAGTTCTTTTGTTCATATGATTCAAGATATGGATTGAAGCTGTTTTCAGCGCTTCCTTGCTTTGTTTTTGCGTGTGATGTGTAACTGTGCCAGCCCCATCTGCAGAGAGGACTGTCCTTTCCCCGTAGAATTGTCTTCGCGCCTTTGTTAGAAATCAATTGACTATAAACGTGTGGGCCTATTTCCAGACTCTCTCTTCTGATCCATTGATCTGTGTGTCTGTCCTTTCTCCAGCGCCACACTTCATGATGATGGTAACCTTATAATGAGTCTTTTTTTTCCCCTAAAGCAACCCTCCTCCTTTTTTAATATCAAGTCTTGAAGTCAAGTAGCATGAGTTTTCCAACGCTGTTCTTGTTAAAAATCGCTTTAACTATTGTAGTTTCTTTGCCTTCCCGTATCAACTCTAGAACCAGATGTGGGGCTGAACAGAAACCCCGCCGGGACTGTGGCCGGAGCTGCCTTTTGTATACACCGCAGTTAAGGCAGAACCGACATTTTAACAACACTGAATCTTTCCGCCCAGGAGCACGTGTCTTTCCGTTGTTTCAGGCTTCGACTTCTTTCAACAGGTTTAGTTTTCTGCATGCAGATTTTGAACGTATTTTGAAAGATTTCCTGTTGCTGTTGAGTTGCTCAGTCGTGTCTGACTCTCTGCGACCGCATGGAGTGCAGCACGCTAGGCTTCCCTGTCCTTCCCCACCTCCCAGAGCTTGTTCACGTTCATGTCCATCGAGTCGGTGATGCCATCCGCCCATCTCTTCCTCTGTTGCCCCTTCTCCTTCTGCCCTCAATCTTTCCCAGCGTCAGGGTCTTTTCCAGTGAGTCAGCTCTTTGCATCAGATGGTAAGATTCATATGTAATTAAGCATTTTATAACTTTTGAAGCTACTGTAAACGGTCCTTTGCTGTCAATTTCGAATTGTTCGTTTCTAGCATATAAAAGTATATTTGTATGCTGGTCTGGCATCTACAAAGTTGTGACGCTCTGTCACCAGTTCTAGCAGCGCCTTTTAGATTCTTTAGGGTTTTCCACAGTGACAATTCTATCAACTGAATGGTTTTCAACCTGTATGCCGTTTATTTCTGTTTCTTGCTTTACTGCACTGGCTAGGAGCTCCAAGAGAATGCTGAATAAAACCAGTGAGAGTGGACACCCTTGCTCTGTTCTTGATCCAGGATGAAAGCATTCGGTCTTTTACCATTCTCTATGATGTTGGCTGGAGGTTTTTCACAGATGCCCTTTTTCAGGTTGAGGAAGATTTTAGTCGTGCATGGGTGTGTTACTGTTCTTAAAAGGACTCAGCAGGAGGACACTCCTATTTTCTTCTGAACATTTCAGTAACTGGCTATGATGTCTGGAACTCTGGCAGTCATTTTGTGACCATGAGGTGAGCTTGTGTGAGGAGCAAATGTACCTACCCTACTGATGATGGAAGAGTGGAGAGATGGAAAGAACCAGGGTCCTTTCTATCACTGGTTCACTGAATTAACAAGTCCTGGACTCTCCCCTACCACCAGAACTCCTGTTATGCAGGAAACTAGGAAAGTAAGTAGCCTTATTGTTTAAGCCTTCATGAGCTGGGATTCTGTTCCTTGCAGCCAAGAGCTACTACTTGCAGGCGGTTTTTCTTCTCAGTGCCACAGGCCCCGTGCCTGGAACGGTGTCTGAAACACAGCAGATGCTAGTTAAAAGTCTGCTGCACACGTCAGTCTGGGCCTGGGCTTTCTTGATCTGAGAGTTGCTTTGCTTCAGTGCGGAGGGGAAGTCCCAGGGAGAGTGCAGAGGACACTTCCGGGTGCGGTGTCCTGAGGGTGACGGCCCTGAGCTTTGGAGGAGAGACCTCAGGACTCAGGAAGGACGGACTGGGTTCAAAGCCAAGCTTCAGTCTCCACAGGTGGACGTGGAAAACCGGGGGAAGGTGACATCCCTGGACAGGGGATCTGAGCTCACACCCCCTTCCCAGGTCCAAAGCCGGTGTCGGCTGTAGCAGTTACGTTTTCCCGTTCTCGAGCAGCACCTGGGAGATGGTTCTTTAGTCGTGAGCCCTGTTCCCAAAGACAAGCCGTACAGACCGCAAGCAGGACAGAGAGCCTGTGGAGCTCCCGAGGGAGGCTGCAGTCCCCACTGGAGACAGTCGCGGCTGAGGTGGTGGCCTGACGTCTTGGTCACCCTCCCTGCCCATCTTCCCAACACGCCTGGCCCCGGGAGGTGGCCGTGGGGTCAGAACACCGCCCACGTGCCATAGAGCTGCCTGGTGGGGGGCAGGCCCCGTCCCCGCCCCGACAGGAGCACGTGAACACTGAAACCCACCCCCCGCGGCTCCCCGGGCTCCTGGGCTGGACCGTCTCTCAGCCTGTCCGTGGCCTTGACGCTCTGGCGGCCTTGGGAGGCGGTCGGTGCACTGTAGGACCGGCCCCGCCTTGGGGCGAACGAGCAGAGGTGGACGCCTTCTCCGGTGTGCCTCCGAGGCTGCGTCACTGACCGTCCCGCAAGCGCCTGCTGCCGTCGTCCTGGATTAGCCTTTGCGGAGCTCTTCCTTCTTGTCCCGCCCACACGGAGCTCTCTGGAAGGGAGGGCGAAGGGCACTCTCTGTCCGTTTACGGAGGCCACACTGAGGCTCAGGCCTGGGGCTTCCTGCCGGAGCCCGAGCTGCCTTCAAACCAGACGGGTCGCTGGGGTCTTTCTGAAGAAGCGCGCACGCTTCGGCCGTGTGAAGGCACCAGACAGGTTCTCATGGGCGGCGTGGCGGGTGCAGCGAGGGGAGGGCCCAGGTAGCCCCGCTCCCCCGACGACCCCTTCTGGGTTCAGGCCAGGCCGGTGCTCTTTTCCTATTCTGACACAGTTTCTGATTCCCCTTTGGGGGCACCTCCCTCAGGGGGCCCCATGCGCCTCTGTCCACGGCAGTCAGGCTGGCCCCGCCCTCTCCAGGGTGCTGAGTGGCGCCGGCCACCTGCTGGGCCCTCACTGGCTGGGTTTTGCTCTTCAAGGGCCGCAGGTGACGCTGGTTTGGTCCCAGACGTCGTGGGTGTGGGGCTGGGCAGGGACCCGGTGAACCACCTGCATCTTTGGGAAGACAGACATGCGAGACCAAGGCTGGGATCCCTCGCCTCCAGGGGCAGCAGGGCCCAGACAGAGGAGGCTGGGAGACGAGCCGCGGGCTCCAGTCCATCAGCAGGCACGTGGGGAGGCCCGCCACACGCTAACTGCTAGAGTCAGGAGGCTCCTCCCCGGTGGTGCAGTGGCTGAGACATCACGCTCCCAGCACGCGGGGCCGGGCTCGATCCCTGGTCGGGGAACCAGACCCCACCTGCGGCAACTAAAAATCTGTGTGGCACCACAAAGACCCAGGCAGCCAAGTAAATAAGCATCATGATTAATTAGTGGAGAAATGCAAATCAAAGCTGCAAGAGGAACCACCTCACGCTGGTCAGAATAGCCACCATCAAAACGTCCACAAAAACCAAATGTTGGAGAGGATATGGAGAAAGGGGAACTCTCCTACCCGGCTGGTGGGAACATAAACTGGGGCAGCCACACAGAGAACAGTATGGAGGTCTCTCAAAAAAATAGAAAACAGAGCTGCCATGTGACCCAGCAACTCCACTCCTGGGCGTGTATCTGGAGAACTCTAACAAAAAGCCACATGTACCCGGGGTTCGTTGCAGCACGATTCACAACAGCCAAGACACGGAAGCAGCCTGAGTGTCTAGATGAACGGGTAAAGAAGGTGTTACACGTACACAATGCAACACTACTCGTCGTCATAACAGTGGAATGGCGCCACGTGCAGCAGTGTGGAAGCCACTAGAGACGATCAGACTAAGCGAAGAAAGTCAGGAAGACGTACGACATCACTTACACGTGGAAACGGAAATACGACACAAAGGGACTTGTTTACAAAATGGAAACACTCACAGACGTAGAAAACAAGCTCGCCTTACCAAAGGCGAAAGCCAGAGACAGGGATACACTGGGGGTTTGGGATGAACAGATACAGGCTCCTAAGTGTAAAAAAGATAAAGAACAAGGAACTCAGCGCTCTGCAACGGTCTATACGGGAGAAGAATCTACACAGCGGACACATGCACACGTATACCCGATTCACTTTGCTCCAGACCTGGAACTAACAGAACATTGTAAATGAACCACGACCAACTGTCAGCTACAAACTGGGGCTTGCCGAGGGCATTTCCACCTGCCTCTGTGGAGGCTGAGCCCTGTCCTACTGCTGACCTTTGACTTACCCTGAGGGGTTCAGAGTGGACAGTGACGTACCCTGGGCTCCAGGGAAACTGGTGGAATAGGTCTTCAGATCGTTAGATATTTTCAGGAGCAGATTTCATGATCCCAATCTTTGCATCTCTGCAGTGCTGGAGAAGACTCTTGAGAGTCCCTTGGACTGCAAGGAGATCCAACCAGTCCATCCTAAAGGAAATCAACTCTGAATATTCACTGGAAGGACTGATGCTGATGCTGAAATTCCAATAGTTTGGCCATCTGATGAGAAGACCTGACTCACTGGAAAAGACCCTGATGCTGGGAAAGACTGAAGGCAGGAGGAGAAGGGGACGACAGAGGATGAGATGGTCGGATGGCATCACCTACTCGACGGACATGAGTTTGGGTAAACTCCAGGAGATGGTGAAGGACAGGGAGGCCTGGCGTGCTGCAGTCCATGGGGTCGCAAAGAGTCGGACACGCCTGAGAGACTGAACAACAAAACATCTAGAGCAGCACTGGACCGCTTCCTGCTGACATCAGCTCCTCGTGACTCGCAGAAACCCTCCTGTAAAGCAGCTCCTGGTTGCACTGAACTCCCCCCTCACAGAAGTCTTTTAAGTTGACCCTTCCCCTCTGCCTCTTCGGAGTGGTCTTTCAGAGCGAACTGAGGTGCTGTCTCCCGGGCTGCAGTCCTCATTTTGTCCCATGTAAAACTTAACTCACAACTCTCAAGTTGTGCATCTTTTTAGTCAACCAAATTAAGAAAAAAAACCCGACCCTGGGAGCCCAACCATGAGAATGGCACAGGGGGAGGCAGGTCCCCTTGCTGGGGCTGCGTTGGAGCCCGCCCACCCGGGTTAGGATCCCACCTTCACCACCTCCGGATGACCCTGGCAGGCTCCTCTGAACTGTAGCGATGCATCGTTAGAGTGGGAACGAGGGGCTTCCCTGGAGTCCAGTGGGTAGGACGCCACGCTCCCAACGCACGGGCCTGGGTTCCACCCCCGGTCAGGGAACTAGAGCCCACGGGCCACAACCAAGAGTCTGCACAGGACCCCGCCCGCGGCGATGGAGACCCGGCACAGCCACACGATGAACGAAAAGGAAACGCTTTTAAAAGTGGGAATGAGAGTGTTACCCTAACAACCACCTCCCGGGGCTCTGGGAGGATTCCAGGAGAAAGTGAAAAAGTGAAAATCGCTCAGTCATGTCCGACTCTTTGCAACTGTATAGTCCCTGGAATTCTCCAGGCCAGAATACTGGAGTGGGTAGACTTTCCCTTCTCCAGGGGATCTTCCCAACCCAAGGATCGAACCCAGGGCTCCCGCTTTGCAGGCAGATTCCTTACCAGCTGAGGCACAAGGGAAGACCCCCACCAAAGGCCAGCTCAACGTTGGGATTCAAGTGTGAACTGTCTCGGAAAGGAGCCTCTCGGGATTTGTGTTAGCCGTGGAGACAGGTCGCCAGCCATCACTACACACACCTGACTGGTGCCAGCCCCCCACCTGCAGCCAGGGCAACCCCTCAGTGGAAGGGACCCACGAAAAGCCAAAAGACCTATGGCCTCATGCACTGCGCACGGCGGGGTCTTGAAGAGCTGGGAGCCCTGGACAGCTGCATGTGCCTGTCTTCCTGGAGCCCAGCGGTCTGGGGAACTGCAGGTCTGGGGAGCCCTGCTCCTCTGCTTGCATACCCAACGGCAGGGGAGCAGGCGGCGGGGGCCCAGACAGCCGTCCCCAGGGACAGCGAAGGGCAGTGTCCTGCCCTGCCAAGCAAGGCCAGGTTCCAGCCCCAGACGGCCGCCCGCCCTGCTCCTCTGGGTGCTGGGAGCGGCGAGCTGACGCCCCCCCTGGTCCCGCGGCCCCTGCCTCGCGGGAGCTGTTCACGGGGCTTCCCTGCCCTCAGCCGCCTCCGTGCTTCCCTGGGGATCTTGACGGTAGATGAAGTGACAAGTCTTTGAGCTTAATTAAGACACATTGTCCCACCAATTGGGAAGCGGGAAATGGCTGGGCTGTTTTACAAATAGAAACAATTCTTGTTCATTATCCCTTAATTGAGGCAACAAAGGGCCCTGGAAAACATCCATCAGAAACACATTCATGTTCGTCATCACGGAGGATTGGTTTAGGACCACACAAAGGCAACAGCAAGTGTTCCAATCAGGAGTTACACAGACACAGGGAAACAGAGGCCCAGAACACAAAGACGGCAGAATTAGCCCAATTACGCGGCTGAGGCTGCGGGAACAAGTTTCCTGGCTCCGGGCCAGCTCTCCTCTCAGCCCCTTCCTACCCTCCGACGTCCCTGCACCCAAGGGGAAGGGGCAAGGGGGGCCCCTGCCAGACCCCCTGGACACACGGCCAGAGCAGGGAAGGGGGGCGCTGACCCAAGGGCCTGGGGCCAAAAGCTGCCACCTGAAGTCCAGATGCAGCCTGCCCATCTCTGTCACCTCCCCCTTTCTGGTCCCTGCGCTTCTTATGATGCGACCCCAGTCCTGTATTTTCTGCTTCCTTTCTGTTCCCTCTGCTTCCCGTACACGATCTAAGACACCAGGCACCTCTGTCCCAAGCCTGGGTTCATGGTCTGCTTGCGGCTGGTTAAAGCCCCTGAGCCTTCTCTAGGACTTTTTCCAGGCTGGGGCTTCCCCACCCTTTGCCTACACCATTGCATTTTGGGGTCCAAGTCAGCAGATTTCACTCATCCTGTTGGTCCCAGCCTGTTGGCCTTGCCCTTTGGGGGAGCCGTGATCAGAGGTCGGCGGCCCGCTCTCTGCACCCTCACTCCTCTGGACCCCCAGCCCCAGCCGCCAGGTCGTACACTTGGCTCACACCTCAGGCTCCGCTACCCGCACAGCCCAGCCCGCTCCCCCTGCGTCTGTCTGCACCTGCCCGCGCCCCTGCCCCAGGGCTGGGTCTTTGGCTCCACAATCCCTCGCACAAGGGCTGCAGTCCTGGCCCCCAGACATGGAAGCAGCCTGAGTGTCCAGCGGGGGTCGAGCAGATAGGGGGTGTGTAGACACACTCACACGGACAGGTGCGTGCACACACACACACAGGGCCATCCCTCAGCCACGAACAAGCCGGGAGCCCACCACGGTCAGCACTGGGCGGGGGTCACTGGAGGAAGGTGGTCAGAGGCACAGACTCCCAGTCACGAGATACAGGAGCCGGGATGCGATGGACCTCACGCTGACCGCAGACAGGCCCCGCACTGGGACCTCCAGGAAGGGTGCTGAGAGCCGGTGCTGAGTTCTCACCGTGCGGAGGAGTCTGCTTGCCTTCTCTTCATTGTACACGAGACAGTGGATGCTAACTGAACCTGCTGGGGGCCATAGCCCTGCGTCCAAATCAAACCGCCGTGTGTGCACCTGGCAAGCAGTGATGTCCGTCAGATAACTGGGAAAGGATCCTGACCCTGACCCGTGTGACCTGGGAAGTGACTTCTCTTCCTCGTGCCTCGGTTTCCTCATCTGTAAATGGGATAAAGTCGAACTTCATGGGGGGTCGATAGCATTCAACGAATGACGGGCGTGCGTGAGGCGCGAGACTATCACGCAGGCCCTCACTTGTGGCAAACCACTGCTGACATCGAGGGCACTCTGGGGCTTTCCTCGGGCTTGGGACCCCTCCCCCTGGACCCTCTGAGCCCCTCACTTCCAGAGACGGGCCCCCTCGTTCCACGGCAACTCAGCTCCCGATGTGCGGATGGGGGGCTGGCCAGCGGCCTGCCGCCTTCTTCCTCCTGACCCTGGACTGCCTGGGACCCGGCCGGCAGGCTCTGGGGGTGGGGACGGCAGCACGTGGACAGAGGGGTGGCCCGAGAGGCGGGTTCCTGCCGGCCCCGGGTCGGGGAGGGGGTCCCAATGGAGCTCCTGCAGCCTTGCGCACTGGTGGGGGGTGCCCAGCCGGGCCCTGCAGACCAGGGCGTGGTCATCCTGGCCCTTCCGCTGCCCAGGCAGTGAGGGTGGACCTGGCGGGTGTGTCCAGAGACAGGTGCTCACGAGGGAGCAAGCCCAGACCTTTCAGAGGCGCCAGACTCAGGCCAACGCCTCCTGGCTCTGCCTGGAAAGTCACTAGAGTTGGCCTAACCCCAACCCTAACCCCTAATCCTAACTTGAACCCTAACCCTGACCCCTAACCTCTAGCCCCAACCCACACCCTCACCTGTCAGGGTTCTGACCCCTTTCACCGTCTAAAGTGAAAGTGAAGTCGCTCAGTCGTGTCCACCTCTTTGCTACCCTGTGGACTGCAGCCCACCAGGCTCTCCGTCCATGGGACTCTCCAGGCAAGAATACTGGAGTGGGCTGCCATGGGGATCTTCCCGACCCAGGGATCGAACCCAGGTCTCCCACATTGCGGGCAGACGCTTTAACCTCTGAGCCACCAGGGATTTCCTAGAGGAATCGCGCGATGGCGGACCTGCCGGGGCAGGGCCGTCTGGGAACGACCGCGTGCTCAGGGCAGGCCTGCGTGCACGCGGGCCGGGTCCTCCCGCCATCACAGGGACGGCGGGGTCAGTGCCAGGCCGGAGGGTGGCTCCCCGGACCCCCGCCGCCCAGCAGCCGGCCTGCCCACGCCTGCTGAGCCAGGCCAGACGCGAGAGGCCCAGGGGAGGCCCCGTCACCCGGCCACACCCGGGCCCGGGCTGGGGCGCCCCCCACCAGCTGCCAGCTCCGGTGAGCCTCTCACGGGGTCGCGCCCCGTGCGGGAGGTGGGGTGAGACCCCCCGAGGCTGCTCACCAGCCTCTCTGCCCCGTCTTCCCACACCCAGGTCCCCTGGACTCTTCCCTTCAGGCATCAAGGCTTTTAAGAATATTTCTTCCAAACAGACACAGCGCTGTCCCCAAGAGGAATTCTGGGAGGAAAAGATTTTCCATCTCATTACAGGTGTAATTGCTCTTCCCCTTTCTTTTTTTTTTTTTTTGTTTGCACTTAGTAGAAGCTCACACAGACTGGCTTTAGCAAGGAAAAGGAACTGACTGGTTCATAAACCTGAGAAGTGCAGAGCGAACGTCAGGCATGGCTGGATCCAGGCACCCCCAGCTGTCTTTCCTCTGCTTCTGAGCCCTGAGCCACCCCTGATGTCACAGAAATGCCGCAGACTGGGAGGCTTGCAGGGCGGGTGTGTGCTTCTGATGGGCTTGGAGGCGGGGAGCACCCGTCCTCACAGGGGTGGGGGCGCGAGCCAGGGTCTCCTCTCCTCAGGCGCCGCCTGCTGGCCAGGGCAACACTCTGGTCCCTGATGGATTGGTCCCAGCAGCCTGCCTCCCGACACCGTCAGGCTGGGGGGACCCAGGTCCTGCCCGCGACACCCCCACAGCTTCGGGCTTGCCCGTCGACTCCACATCATGTTGTCTTCAGGTCTGTCTGTCCATGGTGGTGCTCTGTATGACCACACGCCCACCCCTCACCCCCAGTTCATGTCCGAGGATAACAGCCATCATTTTATCATCCCTCATGGGGCACGTGTGGCCGGCAGCTGAGGCTGCGTTCTCGCGGTGCAGAAGCAGGCGTGGGGGTGTCTCTTCCGTGTGGCCTCAAGGCTGGGCTGGTGGGCATCCTCTCTGCAGAGGCCTTGGGGATGGAGAGCCGCCTGTGGGTCAGGGCTGGGCTGAGGCTGCAGCGTCTTTGTTGGTAACCCTGCCGCTAAAGCCCCAGGGGCCCTCTCAGGACTAGCCCCGGGGTGGGGAGGGGTGGGGGCGAGGCAGGAGACCTCCTGGGGGCAGGGGTGCGAGGGGTGCGGGGACCCCAGCAGCACCCGGCGGAGTCAGGCCCAGGGGCGCTCAGAGGGTCTGATCTTGAGGAAATCACAGACCCGCCCCCTGGGGTGGGGAAGGGTAATTCCCACCTTGGGAGGTCTCAGCATTTCCGGGCCCCTCCAGGGCTGGCCCTCTGCAGCCCTGGTGCGCGTGGCTGGCCGGCCCCGCTGTTCCGCCGGAGCTGCAGGTGGGGGGCGGCGAGGGCGCAGAGGACTCAGCCCCGGGGCTTCTTAGCGCAGACTCTGACCCGGGACTTAACCTCATGAAATGGGCGCAATAATCCCCTCCTCTGGGCAGAGGGCCAGGATCGATGCACACAACAGAAGAGAAAGTGCTGGGCTTCGAGAAGGCGCGACTGGGGACGCTCCCCCCGCCCTGCCCTGGCGAGCGGCCCCGCGCAGGGTTTCCAGAGCCGGCTGCAACCCCGACCCAGAATGAATGGACCGGGCGCCCCCAGTGCCCGCGGATTAAACGGGGCCTCGGATGCAAATCCTCGAAGCGAGGTGTCTGCGCAGAAACCGCTGAGCCGGTGGTTTTGGAGCAGCTGCGTCCGCGGCAGCCTTGGGGATCAGCCTCTGCGCCCCCAGCACGGTGGGGGCGGGGTGACGGCCCCAGACCGTGGTGGGGGAGGGGTGACAGCCCCAGACCATCGCGGGGGAGGGGTGACGGCCCTGGACCGTGGTCTCTGGTGCTGACCGGAGACCTCTGCGAGGGACGGAGGGAGGCAGTTGGGCAGCCAGAGAGCTCCCCCCAGGTTTCCCCCAGGCACCCCGCAGGTACCCCCTCATGTACCCCCTCTAGCTCACCTCCAGGTGCCCCCTCCCCCAGGACACCCTCCAGGCGCTGCCCCTGCACCCTGGCGGCCTGTTCCCGAGGACAGAGGCCTGCCTCCCCCACCCTTCAGCTCTGCCCACCCGGGGCCTGGCCCTCCGACCCTGGTCCTTGCCCGCTCCTGGCTGTCACAGCGGCCACCGCCCCACAGCCTCTGGGTCTCGAGTCCACTCTCTCCTCCTGAGCACCTCCATGCGGGGATGGGGGCCCTCACGTCTTGCCCTGGCCCTGCCCCCAGCCCGCAGGAGCGGTCAGTCGCTTGCTGTCTCGTTGGCCTCACCCACTAATCGTCAGCCGTGGAGGTGTGGCCGGCCAGGCCCCAGGGAGACCCGGCCAGGCCTGGGGGGCCGGGCAGAGGGGGCTGGGCTGCTCGGCACCTGGACGCTGCCCCTAGCAGGGTGGTGACAGGGTCTCGATGAGCTGTGTGGGCAGCGATGGGAAACTGACCCGGAGGCCAGGCCGACACTGAGGCCCCAGGGCAGCAAGGGCAGAGCAAAGCGGGGACGACCCAGACACTGAGGCCCCAGGGCAGCAAGGGCAGAGCAAAGCGGGGACGACCCAGACACTGAGGCCCCAGGGCAGCAAGGGCAGAGCAAAGCGGGGACGACCCAGACACTGAGGCCCCAGGGCAGCAAGGGCAGAGCAAAGCGGGGACGACCCAGACACTGAGGCCCGGCAGATCCTGAACCCTGTCTGTAGCCTCGGCACGTCCTCATGGCCTGCCCAAGGACGAGGGGCCCAGGCCCGCTGTCCCCGCCCTGCCGACCCCCGCCCTCTCCCACGCTGGGCTTGATCCGGATCCTGGCCCGGGGTCTGGGCGGGACCCCTGGCCGGGCACCCATGAACCCGAGCGGAGCTGGGATTCCTTCCTTTGCCCCCGGCTAGCACTCAGCCCTGGGAACCTCCGGGCACCGCCTCTCTGGGCCTGTGGGGGGCCACTGCCTGCTTTCCATATCCGCCTCCTCAGGGAGTATCTAGACCCCCAGAGACCCGCAGGTCTCTCCCCGCGAGCCCCTGGCCACACGAAGACGACCATCACAGAGACGGCCTCACGCAGATGCACCCAGGGGCTGCAAGCCAGCATTGATCTCTGTGGGCAGTGCTATGATCGCTGCCAGATGCCAGCCAGCCAGCCGAGTGGGGGTCCCTGCGACCCTGTCCCGGGGGCACAGCGCTGTGGAGGGGTGGAGCCCGGACGCCTCTTTAGAATGACCCTCGGGGCTATGAGTGGAGGCGAGGGGACCATGGGGCAAGGCTGTTAGGGAAAGCCTTCAGTGCCTGGGCCGGGCGGGACCAGATGGGGGGGCGTGGACCCCTGGGCCGGGCGGGGCTAGATGGGGGGCGTGGACCCCTGGGCCGGGCCGTCCAGAGCCCTTCGGAGCCTCCTCGGGCCTGAGAGGGCACTCAGCTCGGGCCTCCCCCAGGCCCCCCACCTTCTGCCCCCCGACACGATGACCTCCTCCTGGCTGCCCCTGGGCCTTCATGCTGGCTATGCCCCCCCCCCGTCCAGCCTGTACCCCATGTCTTTGCCAATCCACTGGGTCTCTTTCCGGGCCTGGCCCGGACCAGGGTTCCCGTCCCCGCGGCCCTCATGTGCCTGCGTCCCCCGGAGGCAGACGCAGTGCTTGCGGCCCCTGCTCTGTGCCCTGGGCCTTCCTGACGTGTTCAAATCAGGCTCTGGTTCATCCTAACCCCTCTTTGTCCGGGAGCTCCTCCCCTGTGTCCACGGGACCGGGAGGCAGCTGCCCCCAAGTGGAGGGAAGCCACAGCGGGCGCACCGAGCCAGATTCTTGGCTCCTCACTCCAGGAGCCAGTCAAGGCTTTAATTGGCATGTGCTGCGACGCCAATTACTCAAAGCCCCGAGGGTCTGGGAGCCAGTGACGGATCGGCTGACAGCTGCTCTGCCCCAGGGGACAGTCCCCCGGGCAGAGGTGCATCAGTGAGTTTTGCCACATAACAAGCCATCCCCAACACACAGGATTCCCGGGAGGGGCAGTGGGAAAGAACCCTCCTGCCAATGCAGGAAACGCAAGAGACGCGGATTCAATCCCAGGGTCAGGAAGGTCCCCTGGAGAAGGAAAGGGCAACCCACTCCAGGTTTCTTGTCTGGAGAATCCATGGACAGAGAGGTGCTTGGCAGGCTACAGTCCAGGGGGTCCCAGAGAGTCAGACTCAGCTGAGACTGAGCACACGTGTGTGCCCAATCCCAAGGACACTCAGTGGGTTAACGCAGCAAATGCACCATTTCTCGCCGTTCTGTGGGTTGCCGGGACGGTTCTCCTGCTCTTTGCTGGCTCTGGTGGAATTGGACAGTCTGCAGGAGCCTCACTCCCACGTCTGGCC